CCGCAGGCACCCCGGGGGTGGTCCCGGCGTGTCGGCCCGTTCCCCGGCGCGGTCACAGGTCAGTTACCGTCCGTGCGGATCTCTCTCCCTCTCTCTGCTATCTCTCTCGCTCTCTCTATTTCCTCTCTATCTCTCCTCTCTCTTCTCTCTCCTAGCTCGTCTATCTCTCTCTCTCTCTCTCTCTCCTCTCTCTCTCTCTCTCTCTCTCTCTCTCTCTCTCTCCTCTCTCTCTCTTTCTCTCTTTCTCGGCCCTCCAATCTCCGCACGGCCCCCCGCCCCCCATTCCATCCGTCGCTCTCTGCCGCCGCACGCGGGTTCGTGCCTTCGTATCAGGTTACAGCTGTGGACGGCTGATGCGTCCGCACCAGGCTGCAGTTGTGGACGGCTAATGTGTCCGCACCAGGCTGCATCTGTGGACGGCTGATGTGGCCGCACCGGGCTGCAGCTATGGACGGCTGATGTGATCGCACCAGGCTGCAGCTGTGGACAGCTGATGTGTCCGCACCAGTCTACAGCTGTGGACGGCTGATGTGTCCGCACCAGGCTGCATTTGTGGACGGCTGATGGGGCCGCACCAGGCTGCAGCTGTGGACGGCTGATGTGGTCGCACCAGGCTGCAGCTGTGGACGGCTGATGTGGCCGCACCAGTCTGCAGCTGCGGATGGCTGATGTGGCCGCACCAGGCTGAAGCTGTGGCTGATGCACGCACGGCTGATGTGTCCGTGCCAGGCTGCAGCTGTGGACGGCTGATGTGTCCGCACCAGGCTGCATCTGTGGGCGGCTGATGTGTCCGCACCAGACTGAAGCTGTAGACGGCTGATGTGTCCGTGTCAGGCTGCAGCTGTGGGCGACTGATGTGTCCGCACCAGGCTGAAGCTGTGGGCGGCTGATGTGTCCGTACCAGGCTGAAGATGTGGGCGGCTGATGTGTCCGTACCAGGCTGAAGATGTGGACGCCTGGCACAGGTCAACCACGCACGCTGCGAAGAAAGCGTGCTGGGCGGCAATCGACTGACCTGCCGAATGCAGGCTAAACGTCGACACTACATTCCATACTTTGCGTTATATAGGACAACGGTGTCCAATGACCTCTACACCGACAGATTGCGCCCAGCGGGGATTATGATCACAACACTTCTGAGCTAGGTGACACTTGTGGCCATACTTGATACCAGTGTGACGTACCGTACAGGGGATAATTAAGCTAATGGCTGACATGGGTTATAATTATTATCATGCAGATGATACCAAAATGTAAAGAAATGATCTGTGACGACGCGTCCGAATGACAGCAAGGATGCACCGCTCCCCGGCTTCAGATGCCGGGGTTTGGATGGCGACAAAAGTATGTGGTTGGGCTCTTATCTGAAGGAGGCCCCAGAAGCTTTCAAGTGTTTTTCCCCTCCTCCAGAAAATAAGGGATCACCGACAAGGTGTTCCCAAAAGCTCTCGAAAAAACCATCAGACCATTAGACTGGCAGGGGTCCCGGAAACAACAGAGTTAGAGAAAGCCGGGCGGCATTCATAACCAGGGGCGCACGTGGGATTTCACGATCAGGAGGTGACACAACTAAACAGACCACCTAAAACAAAGCAAAGCGTGCCTAAGGTGAGCGCAGGTTCTGACGCATCGTAGAGCAACATTACATGCTCTCGGTGTTTTCCTTTTTACTCGTCTACTTGGAATTGGTAACTGCCAACATCTAGTCACTTTAATGCCATGAATCAGGTGAGGAGCATGTTCTCCGCGGGCATTTTATGTGCGTGTGCCCACGTTCATACCGTAAAGAGTTTGTTTTTTTTTCTTTCTGAGCAGTCCAACACGGGTGCAGGCCCCTGGACAACACCATCAAGACATTTTGCAGCTAGGCAAAAACATTTCCACTAGTAGACTGGTCAAAAGATTTGCGATGATTGAAAGGTCCGAGAAGGTCAGTTTGCCTGTATCCCGGCTGTCAGGTTAGGTTGTCTGTATCCCAGCTGTCAGGGTTCGCGATATTGCAGAGGGGTTCGGCCATGGCTAAGCAGCCAAAATCGTGAAAGAGGTTCCAAAAAAGAGGTTCCAAAGATAAAAAGTCCAAAAGGGGAATGCTTCTTAAACGATTTGAGGCGCGGAGGGGATCAGCAGCGGTCGGGAGGATCTACAGACCCGGGATGGCCAAAGTGGACCTATACGGCCAGGCTGATTTCCGATGTAAGGGGCTTGGGCGCTGCATGACCTACAGCAGTCGATGCGCCCTAAAACCCCAAATCATCATCATCATCATCGATGTAAGAGGCTCGAGTCTCAAAGGCGATGACAAAGCTTATTGTTCCGGGATAGCAAAAATAAATAAAATGATTGAACATGTGGTTATTTGGCAGAAAGCTGAGAACCCCGGAACGGCCCAGCTTCTACAAACATTGAAGATCTCAAAATATTCTGGAGGCTCATCGGTCGTCAAGGGCTCCGAGACCGGCAAGCGTTCCTGGATGGTCATGGGGTCTCGAGACATGGCACGTTTCAATGTAAGAAGTAGGCTCCAAGCACTGCTCAGGGCTAAAAAATAAGCAGACTTCAAACGCTGGAGGGTCCGAAACGATCATGAGCTCTCATTAAAAAGGGTTTCCTATCTCACCAAGGTCCAATGAGAAGATCAAAAGCCTACCACAAGCTGAAAAACCCGAAAGTCGAGGGCCCCAGATGATCGAGGCCCTATGATAGTCAAAGAGCCCCGAAACGGTCAGGAAAGACCACAGATTATCCAAATGAAGCCCAAGCAGTCAAGGTTTCAACAATTACCAGTTGGCCTCCATGGACGTTAAAAAATCCGCAATGACCAGAATCCTGCCAAACCGACGAGCTTCGCCTGGGAAGGTGTAATGCCTTGGGACTGTGGAAGTGCCCGAGTCTGTAGCAGGTGGGATACAAAAAAATCCAGGCTCAAGTATCACCGGATAGTCAAGGAACATTCGGATAAAAAGTGCCATAATTTGACCATACAGGAGACTGATCAGTCGTGTATGGGCCTTCGATTGTGCACAGTTTGAGGAAGGACAACTTGGGTACGCCTTTTTGCGAAGAACGTAAACCGCACGTGTGTATAGGGCACAGATGATGCTACTTATTCATATGTATACATGCCAAGTGGTACATACATGAGACTCAAGCACTATTTGAGGGTAAGGTTAAGGTCTTGTTTGATTTATTTTTATTTGGTAGATTGTTCCGCAAAGCAGCAAAGTTAATATGTAACGATACAAGTGAATACTTATACGATTTCCTGACATTGTGAGCTGTCGTGCACATAAGACTATAGTGTGAATGAGGAATGCTCACGAAAAAATTCTTTTTTGTAGCCTGAAACGCAATTAACCGCGAGAAGGCAGTCACAACAGACTGCATCAAACGTTTTTGGTTGCCCAGATCATTTAGTGTGGTGGAGAGCAGCACCGTTGCGACACGGGAAGAAATACCAGCAACACATTGGAAACGTACAGCATATGTGGCTGATGAAACAAGGAATGAGCTTTTGAGGGCAAATGCGTGTTTGTAACTTGCTAGCTTGACTCCAAAAAACTAGCTGGATTTTTGCACTTTAGCCGTTAGACTTTTGTGTTACGCAGGTAATGCAAAAGCCCCTGTCGCCGGGCCCCAGGCGGCTCCACACAACTGATAACATTACTGCAACCAAGCATCGACTATCATCCACCATGACTATTTCCGTTCTATGTAATTCATTGATCGCAGGCACGGGCAACGTCAATTATCATTATTACATTTAGAGATTTTCACACCTGAACTAGACAGGCCTGGCGATGCCGGCAGTTAGCACAAACAATCAGGCCTGGCGATGTCGGTAGTTAGCACAAACAATCAGGCCTGGCGATGTCGGTAGCTAGCAAACGCTCAGACAGTGCGGGTCATGAACTAGAGTGCAAACGCTACAGACAGCCTCTCGGTCTGCTGAAGCGGTGAAAGACCACAGACGCGGTATATCTCACACGAATTAGACATTCCTAATGAATCGATGGCCCCTATTGCGTGCGCCCCAGACGACGAATGACTACTGCTGCATAGGTTTTGCAACTTTCGCTTAGTGTTTAATTGCATTATACTAACTACGCCCTGGCGCAGTGCACGTATAGTGACCATCTGCTCGTTTTGATAGGAATCAAAGTGCATATTTCATTCAAGAAGTAGTTTAGGACTGCTACAGCCCTGCAGCATTGTTGTAGTGTGCTGGCTTTTTTATGCCCCGGTCCAGAACCTAACGGTACATAAACCTTGTCAAGGGTTCCGAATGCCAAGCAACACTGCTCTGGAGGAATGGAGTACATAATCTTGTCATCGTTGTTGTACAATTTACCGGCCATATTATGCAGCAGGAATTCTCTGCTTCCTTGTTTCACGTCCACTGATGTTTGGACAGCTCGTTGTTGACGCCTCTTCTTCGCAGGCATGCGAGCTAAGTATATTTCCCCATATGGTGTAACAACACTTGAAAATAATCATACAAGAATATCATACAACACAAGCACTTACCCTTTGATAAAAATAGCATTCTTAGGGTTTAAAACTTTGTGAAGAGTTTCCGAGAAAAAAAAAACGCTTTCGTGACGCTTAAATCTTAATGAAATTATTTGAGAGAAAACTCCATTACATGGTGCAACAGCACTTTAATTAGTCACACAAAGACACCATACAGCACAAGCAAAAACCTTTTGAGATAAAAAATAAGCCCCGTAGAGAAACGTTTACTTTGGCCTATGATGTTAAAGACATATCGATATGAAATGTCCGCGAAGCTTGTTAACGATACCCATGTCTGTGTACTTGACTTTTCCAACAAATTCTATGTTTCGTAAGTTGTTAAGTGCATTTGCGAGGAACATTACGTACATAAATAAGACAGCAGTGATAGCCTTACCTATCGGAGAAAAACCAGGGTAATGGAGATACAGATGCGTTGATGTTTTAGCAACATGCCTGTATCAAAACGTAAAGGCCTCTTCTGCTAT